GAACTGACGAAGGCGACACACCCCCGTCTGTGGGCGGAAAGCGGGGAGGGGGGGGGTCAGTGGGGGCGACTGGACTTAATAATGGGATTAATGATATTATCAATGCTAGTACTAAAATGATAATGCTGATAATGATGATGATAATAACAAAAACAATAGCAATAATCTATAATAATAACAATAATAATAATTCTCATTATGATGATTATAATGATGATTAAGATAATGGTGATTGATGATGATGGCGGCGGTGATGAACAAGTGAGAGAAAAGGGGTTTATATAATTTTGCTATCCAGTGTAATGTGTCGTTGCGATAACCTGTAATAATAATGGCAGGTTCTCTAAATTTGCATGCCTGTATTGCTGTGCCGTTGACGCAATACATCTATATCTTATCTATATCATCTTATCAATCTATCAATCATCTGTCTATCTATCAATCTATCTATCTCAATCTATCAATCTATCAATCTATCAATCTATCAATCTATCTGTCTATCTATCTATTTATCTATCTATCTATCAATCTATCAATCTATCAATCTATCTATCTATATATATACACACATATACACATACTGTGTATACGCACGCGTGCATATGTCTGTCATCACTCTTTGCCGAGCTAAAACATGTTACTTACAAGACAAGAAGCCACAAAAAAATCTGATTTCCAAAAGTGCCAAACACTGGTCTTAACGAGGCTTCCACGAGGCTCGGTCGAAGGGAGCAATCGAAGGAGGAAGGGAAGGGAGGGAGGAGGGAGGAGAGGAGGAGGAGGAGGGAGGGAGGGAGGGAGGGAGGAGGAGGGAAGAGGGAGAAGGAGGGAGAAGGGAGAAGAAGGGAGAGAGAGAAGGAAGATAGGAAGTGAGGGAGGGAGAGGGAGGAGAGGAAGAAGAGAGGGACGAGAAGGGGGAGAGGAGAAGGAGCAATCAGGCAAAGCCGCGGCGTCTAATGAGTCCCCCGTGAACCCCGAGTTGAGGAGTGAGCGCATTTCCTCTCGCCCTCGACGCGAGAGGAGGAACCGCGGGAGGGGAGGAGACGAGGCGAGGACACGACCCTGACCTTCGGGTGTTTTGTTCTCCCCTCCTCTCTTCTCTCTCATGTGCGTGCGTGTTTGCGTGTGCGTGTGCGTGTGTGTGTGTGTGTGTGTGTGTGTGTGTGTGTGTGTGTGTGTGTGTGTGTTGTGTGTGTGTGTGGTGTGTGTGTGTTGTGTTGTGTTGTGTTGTGTGTGTGTGTGTATGGTATGCGTATGCGTATGCGTATGCGTATCATATGCATATGGTGCGTTGCGTATGTGGTGTTGCGTTGGCGTGTCTCTGGTCTGTGTGCGTGTCTGTTGTGTCGTGTCTGTGTCTTTGTGTGCGTGTCTGGTGTCTGTTGCGTGTTTGTGTGTGTGTGTGACCTTAAGGACAGAATGCGCGCTACAATTGCAATAATTTGTAAGGCAGTAAACTGTGGCCTTTCGAATCCGCGAGATTCTCATTAAGCAGAAAAAAGGTTTGTCTGATGAAGAGCCAAGTGGAACCAAATCTCACACTTCAATGACTGCAGCCCTCCTCCTCTCTTTCTCTCCCTCTCTTTTCTTCTTCTCTCTCTCTCTCCTCTCTCCTCTCCTCTCTCTCTCTCTCCTCTCTCTCTCTCTCTCTCTCTCTCTCTTCTCTCTCTCTCTTCTTTCTTTCTTTCTTCTTTCTTTCCTTTCTTTTCTCTTTCTTTCCTTTCTTCTTTCTTCCTTCTTCTTTTCTTCTCTTCTTTCTTCTTTTCTTCTTTCTTCTTTCTTTCTTTCTTTCTTTCTCTCTCCTCTCTCTCTCTCTCTCTCTGCTATGCATAATTTTCCTCATGCTCCGTCAATAAATATTCGGACAGTCCTGATATATAATTTTTTAACATGAAACCAATAGGAAAATACAACCGGGGTAGTCATAGCCATAAAAAACAACACATATCAGGCAGTTCTGTCCGGCTCTTCCTTTGTCCTTTGTCCGCCATTCTTTAGCACTTCCTTTGACCTTTGACCTCGTCTGGAAGGGCTCTCCATAGTCGCCGAGATCGCTGTCACCTTCGCGGTCGAAAGTTTCAGTCTGGAGGCAACTCTGTGGCGGTCGAACAGAGCCTGGCTGCTGACGCCTTTCTTGCACGCTTCTTGGTGTCTCTTCTTGATCCCTGGCGATTCCTCCTTTCTGTATAGAATGAGTGGATCGTGCATTCGTAAGTGGGAAGGAAAAGGAGGAAGAAATGAGGAAAGGAAGGAAGGAGAGAGAAGAGGAGGAGGAAGGAAGAGGAAGGAGGAAAGGAGGAAGGGACGATTAACCCGATGTTCGTGGATCCATGGACTGCCCACTGGTGACTTTGGGTGTCTTTTGTTGCCCACAGATGGCTCCACGTGTACTCAGAGTTCATATGTAGGCATCGGTGACCCTGCCTCTTTTCCCCGTCCCTTAAATCTTCTTGAATAATGTATTTTTATATTGCTATTTTCCTCGTTCTTTCTTTCTTTACCCGGATATTCTTTTCTGCAGTCTCTCTCCTTCGCTATTTTACCGCTGTCTTTCTATAATGTTCTGATTTCTTTCGTAGTGTGTCTTCAACTTCATACTGCAGTGTCTATTCTTCATTCACATGTAGAATCTTTCGTTAATTCACTTAGTTTTCCTCTCTCCTACTCTCAAGTAACGACAATGTACGATTTTTTTTTTAGAAGTCACTTCCTTGAATTTGACTAAAATAATATACTTTCTGCTTATGACTAATAGGAAATTACTCTTCCTATTTTGAAGAAAGGGCAATTTAGAAAAGGATAAAGTCAGTAGGATTTGCATCCTCACTGCCTGGTTCTGCTGTCGTTCCCGTCGTCTCCTCCTCGCCTCCTCTTGTCGCCGGACTCCGCGAGCACAATGCTCCTCCTCGCCCACTCCTCCAGGGTCATAATTCACTGCTGCAGGAGTTCCGCCCGAGCAGAAACTCTGAAAGACGGGTTGTCGGCGGGCTGGCGGCGGCGCCTCCTCCGCCTCCTTTGTGTCGCGGTCGGGTGGGAGTCCCATGACTTGTCGCGAGTGATAGGCCTTCGTGTGGGTGAAAGGAAGTGGAGTGATGCCTCCTAATATATCTTACCGTGTTAGGGCTTGGTGAAGGATGCTCTCGCTCAAAGGACAACGACAGTTTATCAGCTGGGAGGAAGGCACAAAAAAAGAACACTGCCACCACATGCAATTGCGAATGAGAATGACGAGGCGGGTGTAGGCGGATGAGAAACTGCTCGGGCCTTTTTAGGGAAACCAAGTGGACCTTTGATAATATGTTTTTGGAGTAAGTGTACACATCGCATCATACAAATAGATCAACGGTATACTGTTACGTTTTCTAAAATTCATCTGCAGTTTAATAGTCCCAATCTGGGTCTGGTCAGCTTGAGCAATTGTTTAAAATGAATAAATGTCTAAAACTCTGATTAAGAATGAACTTCAAGAAATACTTATCTAAGGGCAACCACCATGTCGCTTTGTCTAAAACCACTAAATACCCTACGACCTTAATTTTACGAGCTGTTGACTTCAAATTCAAACCCCACTCCGGGTCGCATCGTCCCAGCCAGACCCTATAATAAAAAAACGTTCAGCGCAACGTTCCGCGACGAAAACCAAGACAAAGAGCAGGCGCCTCAGACGAGAAAATTTATCCACAACAATTCACGAGAAGCGCGACACCGGCAGACACAAACACAACAGGCTGGTGACGTGAGGCGACAGATTTCAAGTTGCAGAAAGAGAGGGTTTTCGCTGCGTCTCGCTTCATTGTCGCTCCTTAACGCTGAACAAAAGCTGCGAAGACACGGAGGACTGCGCCGGATGCTGCTGGAGGAGGACGTCTTGGAGGAGGACGTCTTGGAGGAGGACGTCTTGGAGGAGGACGTCTTGGAGGAGGACGTCTTGCGTCTTTGCGGCCGGCGCGGGCGCCCGTCCTCAGAGGGGGTGGGGGGGGGGAGACTAACAGAGGAGTAGTGACGATCAAGCAGAATGGAAAGAGAAAGAGAACAAGAGAATGGGGAGGGAGGGAGGAGGAAATAGATACATACATACAATACATAACATATATACATAATACATACATATATATATAAATATATATATAATATATATTATAATATATATGGCAATACTAATTTAGGCAGCCGTATTATATTATACTAAAGGAAAGTATACAGAATTATTGACCTCACGGTTGTTGCTTTAATTGAAATTCATTGCGTTGTCTCGGACCTCTCGAATGTAAACAATACTGTGAGCTTTCTGCAAATACAAAATAGGGGGTTTGAAGGTATGCTTCGTTTGCACTGCAAATACCCCCAGGTAAGGGGTCAGGAAATACCCACAGGGACAGGGGGTTGGGTTAGTCACTTGGGTCCACGTTCACGTCACGTCACGTCACGGTCACGTCACGGTCAGCTCAACGTCACGCTCACGTCACGTCACGTCACGTCCAGTCACGTCACGTCACGTCACGTCACGGCACGTACGTTACGTTACTGTTACGCTTACGTTACGTTACGTTACGTTACGTTTACGTTAGCGCTTTAGGTTTACGGTTAGGTTAGGTTAGGTTAGTATAGGTACGTTACGGTTACGTTACGTTTCACTTTTAATTCCACTATTTCTTCCGTGTTGTGCCCCCCCCCTATGTAATTATATATATTAATATAATATATTATGTATGTATATATAATTATATATATATATATATTATATATATATATATTGTATGAAGAGAGATATGAGAAGAGAGAAAGAAGCAAGAAGGAGCAACATTCAAGCGAAAGAAATGAATAAAAAAGGAATAGGAAACTGAAATTAACAAGCCGAAAGTCCGAAAAGCGGAAAAGTTCAAAAGTTCACTTCGTGGACACCGCACTCAATGAGGTGCCATCCCCGCCGCCCACGCCGCGCTCGCCCACGCCGAAGCCGCTGAAAGGTCACGGAGACTGGACGCTCATTCATTCATGAAACCATAAATTGCCTGCAAATTGCGGGT